CAGGGAAACAATGCAGGTGTAAAATTGATCATTACGAGCCGGCTCGATCCTGGCGCCGAGACTGATGAGGTGTCCGCAAGACCGGGCTTCTATTTGTTTCACGTTTCTTTAGAATTGTTCCCCGTTCCCTGTGCCACAGACATAATATAGTCCCTCGGTTCCTCTCTCGTGTGGGTTGGATATGTTTTCTCTTTATTTTTTTAGCACTTATTTTTCTTACGACTGGACCTGCAGTAATAGAGCCATGGTGTTTCTCATTACGGCAGGTAGCCCCATCTCCGCTAGGGACGTGATCCTGTTTTATATGTTCCGTGCGTCACTGTATTGAGCAGATCGAAGGGAAGTGGGCTCGTGTTTAACTGCGACCCCCTCGGCTACACTGGAAATATAGCTGGCAAAAAACATACAGTACACTGTTTTTGCTTATTCGCACCAACTCACTGAATAAAGACTCACTCATTCTCTGTCCTGCAATTGGCCTTAAAGTAAGATAAGATCAGATCACTATCGGCCCTATACAATTTCTTGCATTAGGAATCTGTCTTTTCGCAGACCCCAGCTTGCTCTCCAGGAGACACACAGACGGGGAGAGAGAAGCTGGGGGTCAGAGCGCAGGGTCGGCCATTTATACGGCGCCCCTGGAGCACTTGGGGTGAAGGGCCTGGCTCAGGGGCCCAACGGAGTAGGATTCCTCTGCCGGCTGCAGGATTTGAACTGGCAACCTCCCAGCCACAGGCACAGACCCTGAGCCACAGAGCCAACGCTTTGCTACTTAAAGTCAGAATGAACAGTAAAACAAAATTGCCACTGTCATTTGGCTTGTTGACGCTGGTGGTTGACCCCCCGACCTCCTCATCCCTGTCTGGGGGATCCCTCTGGTACACTAGGTCCCCCCGAAACTCATGTCAGGACAGTGAGCTTTGAGGTGCGGAGTAGCTGACTGCTGCAGACATCCGGTCTGTTACTCTTTTGCGGCCCCAGCAGCTGATAACATGAACCTCTTGCTCAGGGCACACAGCTGGACTGCTGTCCTGGAGTACTTCTGCACCCCTTGTGCAAACGTTGGCCTTCTGCTCTTGTGACGCACGGAGGCAGGCCGCTACAAACTGCTCATCTGCCTGCTCTTTTTTTTGTCGTTGTGATTGCTGTTGCCTCTGTCACTAAATCTCATGAATCTTAAATAATTCATCGATATGTGGGGTAGCCCTGTAGATTGCGGTCCCGATGTAATTATTAAGTGATGGTCACGCTTTTTGGCTTTTTAAATTGTTTCGTTTGCACACTAAAGCAATTCAATTAAAAGCAATAGTTGTGTGGTTTGTAGCAGCCCTGAAGAATAAAGATACCCTTTTTTTTCTGAAGACAGAAACACTTTAACCTCTGTTGTGTGATTAAAAGCATGCTGCCCCCTGCAAGCGTTTTGCTTTTTTGGGGGGGGGGGGCAGGCCTAGGGTCCCCCACTTCCTGTTGCGTTGGGAACCCATCAAGGCTCTGCCCGACAAGTGCAGGGGAGGCCCTCTGTGTGCTTGTGCAAAGAAAAGCAATTTTTTTCCAGCTAAATCCTTTGTTTCTGCTGGCAGGACTAACAACGAGCAGAGTCTCGTGCCCTCGAGAGGGGTCAGCTCGGTCGTAGATTGGATAATGAACTTTCCTGGGGGACTTGGCGCCAGCCTCATCTCGGCCGCAATTAAAAGTGCCGCCGGTTGCGTTCTCTTCCTTTGTGTTTGTGTTCGATGTGGGATGCTCAGCCCAAACCTTCGACCCGCGGGCAGCGAGGTACAGGCTCGGGGTGGGAGGGCGAAGGACCAGAGGGTCCGTCTTCTGGTGTCAGCTCTGGACAGCTCATGCCGTTCAGGATCCAGGAGAACTGCAGGCAGTGGAGTCTGAAACGGGGAGGCACAGTGGCTAACGGGTTGGTGAGCGCTGCTGCCTCACGACGCTGGAGCCCTGAGTTCAGTTCCTGGGGTGCTGTCTAGGTGGAGTTTGCATGTTCTCCCCAGCTTTGTGTGGGTTTCCTCCCACAGTCCACAGACAGGCTGGTGGGTTAATTGGCTTCAGGGAAACTGGCCCTGGTGTGAGTGTGTGTGTGTCCGTCTGTGCCCTGTATCGGACTGGCGTCCCATCCGGGGTGTACCCTGCCTTGTACCCGTTGCTTGCTGGGATAGGCCCCCCTATTGGAAGAAGTGGTTAGAAAATGGAGGGACAGAAGGAGATTGAAGCAAAGGCTCGCATGAAAGCCTCACCCCAGCTTCCACAAAGGGTAGGGTGTGAGACTGCAGGCCTCCCGAAACCCCACGACCAGAGCAGAGCAGCTCCTTCTGCCTATCGGTGAGGACAGATCCCAACCCCCCCCCATGACAGATTACAGTACACAGTGCCAGCAGGGGTGCACGGTTTGTGGCACAAGCACTGCTGTTTCGGGGTTCCTCTTCAGAACTTCAGTAAGCATTGACAGCTGTCTGAGCACACAGAGAGACACGTTTGTCCTGGAAAACAACCTGTGCACCCCTGTCTGGGGCTGCCTTGCTTTGCTCCGGACTGCTATGATGTTCAGCGGAGGTGACTGGAGTATTTTAGATGGGGTATGGTGAGACCAGGCAGGATTTCAGCACTAGATCGTCTCCGAACTACGAGCTGTTCCCAGTGTGCTTTCTGGTAGTCCGCCCTTTTTTTCCGATGTCGTAACCAAAACTGTTTTCCCTCCGCACGCCAGTTTTCCAGCCTGGCGCGGAGAATGTTTTGTGCATTCGAGTCGAGATCAAAGTGAGAGAAGCATCGTCTTGGAAAGAAACGACAACAACAGCCCCTCGGTGATTCCTTGTCAAAGGATTGGTGCCAGAGCTCTTTTCAGGTGTTTGGCGTGTTTCTCTGAGGATGGTACCGTGTAGGTGTTTGAAGTCTTCTTTTCTCTCTTTGCCGGTGTTGATGGGGCTGTGAGGGAACCAGAGAGGGGGATAGAATGGAGGAGAATCGCTGTTCTCGGTTTGCTACTGTGCATCTTCATTTTCTGCAGAAGGACTCGAGCGCGCCTAGAAAGTGCTGATTTAAGCAACATCCCCCTTGAGCAGAATGCAAAACCTTTTGTTTCGTTTTTTTTTTTTTGAGAGCGTGCACTTTTGAATCGCACGTGCTCTGCGCCAGGCCACGCGACAGAGCAGCGGTACCGCACCACCAAGCGCGGACGAGAGCTCTCGCCGGGTCTGTTTCTGGCCCACCTGTGCGCGGCGGAGCTGGACCCGGCTTTCTCTTCGCGTCTGGCAGCGGTCCGCAGGGATCGTATCCTTCCTCGCCCACAGGAAGTCCTGTGCTGGATTTGTACAGTGTGGCATCCCACATAGACGTTCACCCTTTACAGTTTCTTGCATTGGGAATTATCTTTTCGCAGACCCCAGCTTGCTCTCCATGAGGCACACAGACAGGGAGAGAGAAGCTGGGGGGTCAGAGCGCAGGGTCAGCCATTGTACGGCGCCCCTGGAGCAGCTGGGGTTAAGGGCCTCGCTCAGGGGCCCAATGGTGTAGGATTCCTCTGCTGGCCGCGGGATTTGAACCGGCAACCTTCCAGTCACAGGCGCAGATCCTCAGCCACAGAGCTACCGCTCCGCAGGTTTTGCAGGTATTTACAAATGTTCCTGGGTGTCCCGCGCAAAGAGCTCCACTCTGGTGGTTTCTGCTGAAGTAAATCAGCACACCTCTCTGTGTTGAAGGGCTCTGATTAGCTTTAGCCTCAGTGAAGGTCACTGCTGTTTAACGGGGGCACTCAACACATACTTGAACTTGAACTTGAACTTTATTGCCATATGTAACCGGTACTGGCACAATGGAATTCTTACTCACAGAAAGTCTCTCGATTGTAAAACAAGTGTAAGAAACAAGACAAAATGCAAACAGTGCATCAAGACAGTGTACAAACAAACAAACAAACAATAGACAATGTGCAAGTAAACATGTGGACAGTTTGAATGTAAACAATACAGACGTGTAAACAATGACTGGAGATGTGCAATAGATAAGAAATCATAAAGAGGTCGATGGTGATGGTGTAGGTGTGGTCCGAGGGGGGTGGCTAAATGTGTTCGCCAGTCTCACGTCTTGTGGGTAGGAGCTATTGAAGAATCTGGTGGTCAGTGTCCGGCTGCTCTTATATCTCTTGCCTGAGGGCAGTGGGGTGAAGAGCTCATGCCTGGGGGGTGGCGACTGTCCTCTGTGATGGCCAGAATTCTACCACGGCCGCGGTCCTCATAGAGCTGTTTGATCTCGGTGAGACCGCAGCCGATGATCTTCTGGGCCATATTGACCATTCTCTGCAGTGCCTTTCTTTCTCGCGCAGAGGTGTTGCCATACCTGTAGAGGTGCAGGCCCCTTCACAGAGGGGCACTTTGTCTTTGCAGCCTTCAGTGTGGAAACGCAGTCATCATCGCTGCTGATGCTTTCTCACCCTAATTCTTTCTAATATAAAGATCGCCCCCCCCCCCCACCTCGAAGATCTCTCTCCTCCTCTCTGTCAGAGGATCTGCACCCACAGGGCAGCATTGGGCAAGCCCGACAGAACAGTCCCATGACTCCCAGTCTCATGTCCCGTGAAGCGGTCTCTGGTGAGTGCGGTGTACCCCGTTTTTTCGGAATGCGGCTCTGTGACGGTCTCCCCAGCACCACGTCCGACCCTAGCCGAGGATATGGAAAATAAGCCTCCCGCTGCATGGCACTGTCATTCCGGTTCAGGCTGTGGGACCGGAATTCTTGCAGTCTCATCAGGGGCCTCGATCTTAATAAAGTGCAGATCGCTCTGCACATGTGAGTGATTCCAAGGACTGGGTGTCTCGAATGGGCTATGTGACTGAATTATCTAAATTATCTCCTAATTCTCTTCTCTTCTGCTCTCTCCCTTGCTGTTCCCGGACACAGAAGAGCACACAGTGGAAGGTAAGAACCCTGTTTGGTTTTGAATGATCCTTTCCAAAGCTTTTGTTTTTTTCCTTTATTCACCTCCTCCCCCCCTCCGGGGGGTGGACGGTCGGTGTGTGTGGGGGGAGGGGACGTTGCTGTGTTGTTGCGTTGTCAGCGTGGACTGCAGTTTTGATGACACCGGTGTGGGGGTGGGGAGGCGGGGGTCACCCCTTTCGTCCTGAAAACTACCACTGTGCTTCCAGCGGGATGGGCCGCTGTCTGTGAGCGTCGCTGAATACAAACCAAAAGGCCAGACGGGGGAGAAAAGGATGTAGTCCGTCCGCCCGGCCAAAATATGAGGGACCCCACCACCGTCCCATAATGCACTGGGGCGTCGAGAACGCCCGGAGCGGGAACGAGGGTGGGGCCGGAATGGGCTGGAATGAGGGTGTGGTTTTGACGTCGTTGCGCAGATCCCGTCTCGTTCCAGAAGGACGGGCGAGAGGGCGGTGGCGTGTGGGGATGAGGTGGTCCCGGCTGCTCCTCTGCTTTTTGTCAGGAGGGGCTGGCCCCTTGTCCTGGCCAGGGAAGGGGGTGGAGGTCCGAGGCCAAGCCGGTGTTGACGGCTACAGAGAGGGGAGGGGGGTGTGGGGGGGGGGAACGCAGGACGCGTTCGGACGGGTCAGCTGGACCAGGGGCCGCTTTCCCCACCAGTCACTCGGACGGGTCCAGGGGGGTGGGCGCGGGGTCCTGTGGGATTCAATCCCGGTGGCTCTGCGGGCTCCAGGCCCACACGGCGCGCCTCCCCGGACAGAGGGGACCTCCGGCAGGCCAAGAGGAGCAGGTCCGCTGGGGGCGGTGGACGGGTGGCTGGGTGGGTGGGGGGTTACGCGCTCGGTGGGCTGAGCCGAGCCCCCCCTTACCCTGTCTGCGCCCGCGGGCAGCGTACCTCTGCCGCAGCGCATAGCGCTAAGGGAGCAGCTGTCTGCCGGGCTCTGGCCCGGCTCGGTATTCCCAGAGAGACCTCCGGGGGCCTCTGTCCCGGGCGGAACTCTCTTCTCACCCCTCCGGCGGGCGGGCGCAGGGGGGGGTGCCGGCAGAGCTCGGGCACCGTGGCGAGGAGCAGCAGCAGGGGGGAGTGGGTGAGGTGTTTGGAACAGCCGGCTCTCTGTCGGGGAAGAGACGGGGGGTGGCCGTGTTTTCTGGTGGTCCTGGGGGCGCGGGGCCCCCGCAGTCAGAAGCCGGTCGTCCGAGAGGGAAGCCTGCTGCCTTTCGCCTGTTTCTGTCAGCGCGGACGTGCTGGAGGGGGGCTGACGCTCAGAAGGAGTCTCTTATGGGGTAGAATGTGGTCTGGAGCTCAGTGCCTCCTGGGGACTGATGGGATCCGTTGCTCTAGCAGGGCTGATTCTGTCTGACGGGAGTGATGGGAGGGGTGGTACTGCTGTAGCTCTTCCTCCAGGTCGCTGATAAATACATATTACACTGCTCGTGTAATAACAGTTGTTCGTTTTCGAAGCCCCGCTGACTTGTTTCCAGTGTGGGGGCTGGGGGAGAGGCCGCGGCGTGTGTCTCGACCTTCTTTAACGTCAGAGTTGCGGGTTCAGATCCCAAGAGAGGCATAGCCCCTGTATGAAGCGAGGTACTGCAGTCCGACTGGCTTCAGTAAAACACCCAGCTGTAGAAGTGGACATGCTCCGTGTTATTGTAAACGCGAATGAGAGTTTTCGGAAAACTATTTAATTTCTGGTTAAATATTCATATTGTAACATTTCTAAATCTGTAAAATTGAATTCTTTGCAAACAGTGGGATATTAAGTTCCCTTCAGCAACGGGGACACCAGCCTTAACATTTAAAGTATGTTACAGCGGTCAGGTGTCCTTTTCCTGTTCTGAAAACGAGTAGCAGTGCGTGAAATGTCTCCTCCTTTTACGTTGGATGCTGTACAAAACGGCACTTAAGAGCCAATGCAGAAGCCAGCATCTGAAGATTGCAGCTGACTCCCGAAATTCTTGCACAGCAAAGGAAAGGAGGTTTTTTTGTTCAGAGTCAAGGGTGTTGCTTGCAGTTGTAGCAACATCTGGGCAGATGCAGGTGTTGTCCTGGAGGGTGTTGTCAAGGGGCACATGATGTTGGAATGCCTCACCCTCCCCATTCCGAAAAATTCGCCACCTGAAAGATGTCTCGCTGTACCTGCAGTGTTTCACACCCATGACGATTCCAAACTCCTCTCTCTCAGACGACGCACATCACTCAGGCGTCAGGCGATCTCAGGAAAAAAAACACAAATCATCTGAGCAGGGGCTGGCTGGGATAGGCCACAGCTCCCCGGTGACCCTGTACGATATGAAGGAGATGAAGATGGATAGATGATATACAAGGCCTTTGCACTGTAGCTCGTGTTCTTGCTGGCCAGGAAAAAAATAAAATAATGTCGCAGCCGGTTCTCAATTCCAATTCCTGATGAGGGCTGTACAAAAAAAAATAAAGATTTGATGTAGTTCAAATCACATCCCCCCCCCCCCCATCCTCCATCCTCCATCCTTCTGTGGAGTCACAGATGAAACTGTACAGCTGCCCAGTGGGAATGCTCACGATGCAGAGAGGATTGATGCTCTGACCTGCAGCTGGATTTCATTCCTCTTTATCTGTCGCACGCCGGTGCCCTTGGGTTGGAGCTGTTACCAGGACTGTCTTCAGATTCCTCAGATGCCTCTCGGGCTTGGCCGCTGATACCCTCCCCCCCCCCCCCCCCCCCCGAAGGCAGGGGCCTCTCTGCTGTGTTCCTAATATAGCACTCGGCCTGTTTGTAGAACACTGCCTGGGACGGATCTCTGTAGCTTCTGTATAGACCACGCAGGCTGCAGGCTCCGTCCCTGCCTTGTGACTGATCCCGGGCAAACGACAACACGTGTTTCATCAGGGGTTATAAACAATAAGAAATAAATCCTCACGCTCTTTCCTGGACCCTCCACTCAGAGCTCTTCACAGGTCAGGGGGGTCCCCTCCACCCCCAGCAGTGTGTACCCCCACCTGGACGATGCGCCAGTCCCCTGTCCCACCAGTCCCACTCCTCAGTGGGGAGGAGAGCAGGGTGATGGGGCCAGTTCAGAGAGGGGGGTTATTAGGAGGCCATGATGGGTAAAGGCCAGGGGGGAAATTTGGGCAGGACACCGGGGTAACACCCCGACTCTTCTCGAGAAACACCCTGGGGTTTTTAATGACCACAGAGAGTCAGGACCTCGGTTTTACAGCTCATCCGAAGGACGGCGCCTGTTTACAAAATAGTGTCCCCCGTCACTAAACTGGGGCATCAGGACCCCCACAGACCGCAGGGTGAGCGCCCCCTACTGGCCCCCATTAACACCTCTTCCAGCAGCAGCCTCAGCTCTCCCAGGAGTCTCCCCTCCAGGTCCTGGCCAGGCTCACACTGCGGAGCTCCAGTGGGGCTGCCAGCTGGGAGCCGCAGGGAGACACAGCTGCTGACGCTAATAAAACAAGAAAAGAAGGTGCGGCTCGTTCCGGACGTCCCTTGACTCCGCGGGTCTTTTTTCTGTTTAGTCCTGCCTTGTCCCCCCTCCCTCTTGATGTCCACTTGTCACCCTCCGAGGCTCATCCTGTCAGTCCGGTTTCGTGTCTCCGTGACCTCTTGCAAGATCGAGCACTTGTCAGAACAAAAAATACTAGCCCAGCGGCCCCCCTGGTGTTCAAGCCTAAAGAGATTCAGTTCCTTTCACCTCTCTGTACTCTGTATCTGACATACCAGAGCAAGAGGGATTCAGCTTGCTGCTCTTTAAATGCATGTCAGGGCAGCGGTGCCGTGTTTTGACCAGCGTCTTTTGTCATTTTATCCTCGCATCTGATGGTTCCTCGCTATCTGGGATGTCAGCCAGGATTATGGAATCATTAATCAAGCCCCCCTCCCCCCCCCCCCCCCCTCCAAAAGCTGCCAGGAAACATCATCCATGAAATTGGGAGGGAGAACCCCCCCCCCCAACACACACTAGCCGTGAGAGGTGGGAAAAAAAAGAAGGAGTGCTGTCAGAAGCCATGCTTTCTGCTGGCTGCCTTGACGGATTGGCGGTGAGGTCCGTCCCTCGGGTTAAACGGAAGGGGACGCTCTGCAGTGAATTCACAGTCGGAGCCGGCCGAGTAAAACCACACAGACTTGAGAGCTGCCGTTCCCCGATGAGTCAAGGGTGACCGAAACTCTTCCCGTATGGGGGCGGGGGGGGGGGGAACAAAACCCCATCCGCGATTCCCCGCAAAAAAGGAATCTCGAGATCCTTCTCCGCTCCCCGACACAAATTCTTCTTTGAACTGAGGTGGGTGGGATCTGTCCCGTGGGTCTCCCAGAGGAGTCCGGCAGGGTTTTTCAGTTTTACGGAGTTGGCAGATAAGATAAGAGATCACTTTATGGGCCCTATACAATTTCTTGCATGAGGGATGTGTGTTTTCACAGACCCCAGCTTGCTCTCCATGAGACACACAGACAGGGAGAGAGAAGCTGGGGGTCAGAGCGCAGGGTCGGCCATTTATACGGCGCCCCTGGAGCAGCTGGGGTGAAGGGCCTGGCTCAGGGGCCCAGCGGAGTAGGATTCCTCTGCCGGCTGTGGGACTTGAACCGGCAACCTCCCAGCCACAGGCGCAGATCCATAGCCACAGAGGCATCACTCCGCCCATTCTCCGCCTAAGATGAGCCCATTCTTCGGGTGTCTCTTGCTGAGATCTGGGGTTTGGAGAGGGGGAGGGGGTTGGGTGACGATGTTGCAGGCATTACCCATTTCCAGCCGTCGCTTTTTAAACCAGAACGGGGGGGAAAAAAAAACAACTACGACTCGTAAAAAAGAAAGCACAGCAGCCCTCCCTTGATGCTTCCCATCCCTGTCTGTGGTGCGCGCGCAGGTTTCCCGTCTGCCTCTTTTAACGTGTCCCAGGAGAGTTCGCTCGGCTGGTGGCATCTCAGATCTCCCGAACTACAGAAGGGTGTGCCCCCGATGATCTCCTTGTGAGCTCGCCGTAGTCAAGCAGTGGGGCT